TTTCGATAATAATAATAAACGATTCCTTCCAGAGTTTTGAACTTGGATTGATAAAATAAATTTCATTTCTTAAATTGTGTTTTAAAATTTCTGTACCCAACTAATTGTGAATCGTTAAATTGTACGCAACAAATTAGAATATTTTTGACTCGTCCAAATTTAGAATATGATAGCGATGTAATTCGTGAGTTACTAAAATGATCAACTAGTGAAAATATTTTACGAGAACTCTTAAACTAACAATACATTTTCAAGAGTTCCTCCTGCTAAACAACAATCTAATATCTATCCTTGAAATCAACAAAAGCGTTGTTTCAGTCATGGAGTCTGGGACTATTTTACAAAACTATTCCATAATTTCGTTAAAGTTTACTAAAATGGAACTTTTTCCCGGACACATCGCATCTTTAATCCCAGTTCTTCGAGAAACTACTAACATTCACTCTATCGACCTAACAAGTTATAATTCCTACATATTTGCGAAGGAAAGGTGCTCAAAAACTGGGCCTCATTCGAACGTTAACCACCCTTAATCTTAGTCAATGCCATCTCGGTTTTGATCTAATATAATCGAAATCGCCAACGTCTTTAAATAAAATTATACCTTAAAAACATCTCGACACTATGTTCAAATTACATTACCTTACTAAACACTAAGTGGAAATATTGCCTTAACACATCTAAACTTCTCAAATAACATGCTTGACAATTGTGCCGTTAGCCCAAATGCTTTGCACAAACACCACTCTTCTCTCATTAAACCTAAACAACAACAAACTTGGTGAAAATGGGTCCTTGGTCGCTAATGCGCTGAATGAAAACAAAAGCTTACAATTTCTAAACCTTTCCTAAAATATCTTTTCATTTACAATCTTTAAATTATTCTTAGAGTGCCAACTCTAATCTATTTAGATCTCTAACACATTCTTGGTGATGACCATATCATATTAATAAAAGAAAACAAAAAATACTCTTCAATCCTTTCTCGAATTATTTTTTCAAATTAATCCATTAGATATTTCACATAGAAATATTCTATATATGTATGGATAGTAACATTTACGCCATTTTTTAAATTTATTAATGCGGTCAAGAAAGATTTAGGTGGTTCCAATTCCTATTTGTGACCGCACAATTGTTAAATCTTATACTTTTTACCTTTAACGATGATGACGATCATGATTGATGAAATTGTGTTATAATTATAAATTTCAGTAATCATATTTCTGCTACTTTGCTAAATGTTATTCAGCTATTTTGTCAAATTTGATGAATAAAGAAAAGCCCTAAGATTTTTGAATTAAATCACTACTGTATGGCCCACCATTTAAACTTTTAAATAAATAAATTGATATTTTAGACCAGATCAGTATCAGCTTATATACGTTCGATATGTACTTCTGTTGCTAACAGCCATAGATAACAGTTTGGCTCGCATTACATTATCTCCGGCCAGAAACTTTTTAATTTTTATTCCATAATTAGAAAGTTTTGGAGATAGGCCTACACTATAGCAAAATTGAGAATCGAGAATCTTCTGTGCCAAATTAGTGCGAAGCAATATAGGCTAACTTTTTCATATCACATAGAAATTGAATAGCACATTATGATTGGCTATATTTGCAAAGTGACAATCAACCAATCAAATTATATTATATTCGTATAATACAATTGTAAGAGATTGACTAATCAGAAGAAACTAACCTATATTGCGCAGCCAGGGTTAATTAAATAGCACTATCGATTATAAATCCGGAATTCGAAAAGGATGAATATATGCTAAATATTGTACTTGAGTCAGAATTTTTTAATTATGATAAGAAATGGGTATTTTTAATAAACAAAATCACCCAATGTAATTCAAACCAGAAATCAACCAAAATTTACATTATAAAGGACAAATATAAGTACTGATATTGATCAAACAAATGGTTTTATTAAGAGATTTTGACAGAATAAACAAAGACAATGTGATCATTGTTTACAAAGCTACCAAATTCTACAATATTAAAAATCAGTATAAACACTAATAATAGACCACAACAAATGAAATTAATGAACAAATAAAGTACATGTTTAACAATATCATGAGATCCCGATTGAGCAGATCTAAAAATAGAAAACTCAGCTTCAAATTGAACTGAAAAATATAAAATATTAACGTTAATACTTGAAAAATATAATCAAAAATAGATAATAAAATTTAATGCAGTATTTACCATATAAACAAATCCATCCGACATAGTTCATATAAGAAAATAAATTCGTGTTAATTGATAAATAACAAATACTCATCGAAATCACAATTCTTATAAATAACACCAGTTTTATCAAAAGCTTGTTATTGCACAATAAAGTAAGTATCGAAGAAAAGCAAAAAATTAAAAAATTCAATTTGCAGACATTAATCACATCTCTGTGGCTGTAAAATTATCAACAGTGATTGATTAATATAATATTAAATCAACCAAATAAAACAAAAAAAAAGATTTTACATATCAGCTGAGAAAAAAATCATTTCAATCAAAGGTCCAACTAAAAGTCCTAGCATGAATGCCAATATCTAAAAAATATGAATTTAAATATATCAGAGGCGGAAATTTTAGAAATAATAGTATTAAGAAATTAAACATACATACTAATAGCAGATAGTAATGTAATGTTCTATTGTAATGTGTCTTGATGGCGATAATACATATTAACCAGAGACTTACTAAAGGCGGAATGTAACCTCCCTAAAGCAATTAAATAATAATATTAATTTTATATCG